AGAAGATCGAGATAAGCAGTCTGTCGTATCTATATGATGGACGTGGTCAATACATTTCTTGAAGGTGAAATTAAACGACTTTGCAAGGTCTTTATGACCTGTTTTAATAAGCTCTTCAATAAAAATTTTGTATGAAAACAAAACCAAGTCAGCCAACAATGGGTGCAGTTGGTTCCCATAGGTATTCCAATAGTTTGTTGAAAGATCTTACCACCAAACCCGACGAAGATGTTGTCAACCAGAATCTTGATCACTTTTATGATTTCGTCCTCCGTATAGTTCTTCTTTGATTAAACACTACGAGGAAAAATTGGGAAATATTATTACAATCTTCTTTCATCATGTAATACATTGTACACGCAGTGCATTTCAGTGGGATAAACCTGGAAGCTTTACCTACCGTCACAGTTACAATAAGTTATTCCTCAGTGGCATATAAGTAATTATTATTATATTGTAAATCTTCGAAATATACAATATTTCAATAGCGGTATAATATGATGTTAAGTTAGAACTCGAAAGATTAAAACGGGACAGACTATAAATTTATATGGAAAACATACATGTTTTTTTTATTTTTTATCTATCTTTACGTTTACATAACAGGTCTTTTTATATTATTATCAACTATCTTACATGATTACCACGCCAGTGCCAACCTTTTGTCAGAAAATTCAATGGAATATTGGTCCTTACACAGAACCAACAAATCTAATGATTTTCTCGGGTTGTTAAAATACATACATGTTCGATTATTACCCAATTATTCTACCTGTTAAACCCCACGGTGTTTGTATTGAACCACTCGATATTATACAGCGGTTCTGTCAGAATTCAATTTTACTTTATTGTTATAAGAATTTATTTAGCAAATACAGTCCTAAGATGTAATTCAAAACAAATATGTTCGAGTATGTGTTGAATCTATATCCATACTAATTGTATTTGACGTTTAGATATAGAGACACAGTAGGGTAACGCAGAATTCTTTACCTCATCTGAGGGAAAATTGAACACATAACCATGTGCTATGGTAACAATGAATATATCTAACAAGTTGTATTGGAAAATTGATTTTGCACATAATTATATGTACGTAAAATATTACGGAATTAGACTGACGACATACTTTGTGGAATCGATGTTGTCCGTACATAGTTTACATAAAAATAAATCAACTTTATTTAGTTTACAACAATTAGTGAGAAAAGTTTTTTTCAATCTTATATTAATCACTCTTGTTGACCCACATGGTTGGACAGGTGATCCCCTACCTTTTCACGTCCGTTCCGGGAATCGAACTCAGGACGTCAATGTGAAAGGCGAGTGCGTTATCACTGCACTCCCTGACCACGAGCAGTTAGTGTGGCTTATGTAGCGTAACCGAATATTAGCGCATTATCAGTATTTCTTTAGATGAGCACATTGATGAATATAAAGAATACACTAAAGCGCTAAAATAATATCAAACCAAAATATGTACATTTACAGTATGTCGTATTGAAAAAAAAAATTATCAGATATGTTCATATTTGATTCCAAGTGTCAGCTGTACATAAGAAACTTGTATTATATAATTCTGGATTGACCGGCTAAACCAGTTACAGAAATAGATAAATGTATATTAAAGTCTAACTGGATCAGTTAGTCCTGTGATACAGAACAATGCTACATCATTTTATCTTGATATAGACCTCTTGTCATGTTGCCATCTCCTCCATTAACCGATTTCCACGTTCAATTTCACGATAATGCCATATATTAACAATTAACATTTATGTCATATATATTAATGTCTGATATAAGAAATAGTTGGTTTCTATCATCCATTTAGATTCCTATTAATCTTTACCTATAACTCGAACAAGGCCAGATGTCCTAGATTATTCTTTGAGTGACGTCTGGCAGGACAACCAAATGTTTATCCATGCAATAGTAATTGAAATCATATGTATGTACACCAACAGGTGTCGTGTTTCGTGAATATTAACCTAAAGGTTGCGCCATTCGGAGACGTTTATGACATACGAGTTAGGAATACTTCCAAGTCCACCTACATGTAAGGAACATCTCAAGATTGATCACAATTTAGATCCATCAACAGGAGCACGCTTACAATTCTTAGGCCAGGCAACTTAACCCATATTATCACAACTACAATACTCTCAAAATGTGAAGCCATTATTCTGTTCAATACGACTATGTCTTTGTAAACGCTCCAAATTATTACACACATGTAACTTGAACTACTAAAACCGTGATACCGCATGACATTAAGGTCAAGGTCACAATCAACTTAGAGGCGTTTGTTTTCCGACATCCACTTAAAAGCTGAATATAGATAGGCTTAAGTGAATTATTTTATTTTGAGATTCATTTAGATGTAATTGGATAGGTGTAGTATTGCTGAACTAAGTATAGTTTTTCTAACCTAAAGATATCCCGGTAGACAATATAAAACTATCCTTGATAATCCAACAATCAGTTATTTGGAGGGAACCTTTAAGTTCATATTTCATGTACATATTTTGTTAACAACAACACCCTGATTCTAGCTTTTATCCGTCTTTATTTAAATTTCAAATTTAGATTTTCTTTTCCATCACGTCGGATTATGTAAATGTTTAGTTCCCGACGAGAATAATCAAATTGTTTATTCACCTATCCTTAGATAAATGGATGTGTTTTAACCTAAGTCACTACTAAAAGCATGTAAACACAAATAACGGGTTGAACGGAAACACAGTGGGGTGTCAGACTGAGGTGCGTGTTGGGGCTTTGTGGGGTGACCTTATGTAGTAACGGACCATAGGGCCCTCTAACGTGGGAAGTCTAATATACACAATGAACACTCAACACCTTATTTGAACAACAATCTTTATTTGAATCTTCATAAATATGAATACGAAGTCAAAGAAATGCTGGCATACTGTTTAACTGCTAATGATATTAATTTTAAAAAAAAACATATATATATATTTTTTTAAAAGTGATGATAAATAAGGGACATGTATTTACTTTTAAAGACATATTTAAAGTGTAATGATTCATCGCTAGAGAAAAGCGCCATTGTGTTGATGTGTTGTGTTAAACAACATTGTTACCTGATAATTGCTTCCTGATTTTGCCGTAACATGGAAAAACACCACCAAGACCGTAGTAATAATGATACTTATCTCGTTATTTTTAAAAGCCCATATATATTTTTGACGAACACAAGGTCATTGCAGTTATGTAGTGCCACATGCCCGTAGCGAAACCTCCATTTTAATGATGGCTCACTTTTTAGAGTAACTTCGCGAAGAGTGACAACTCTATCGTCTGTCATAAGCTAAATTAAGATATACCATAGCATAATCGATGAAACCTCAATATTGATGAGAAATAGAAGTCACACTCTGAATTCTGCTGGATTTTGATAAAAAAATCATCATTTTGAAACGTATCAGAATCGGAATATTATATATAATCGCCCGTACTTTTCCAAGGACACATTGTCCTGGTACATACACATGTACAACCTTACCAATGCCTGCTAAAACGATGGCTTTCTTCTGTATTTTCACGAAGATTACAAAATTACAAAAAAGGCTACATATAATTTTAACCACTTGTACATTTTTCATGTCTCCCCTCCTTAGTCTACCATTTCGACAGTATCTTCTTGCGATATGAACTTTTGACAAACATCAAGATAAAAACACGATATACAGTTAATGACAAATGGTTGCTAGTTTCAAACAATCTCGTATAGTTTAGTTTCATGATCTTTATCAAACACCTCAACACTTCTCCAAATCCTTAATTCAATTTACCATGATAAACATAATCTGTGACAAGACAGCTACAGACTTCCTGTACAAAAAAAGGTTATCGCGACCACAATTCCTGATAAAGGACGCCTCGACACACGAAATGATAGAACGAAAACTTTAATTCAAGACTAAGGACAATACAACATGAGATGATCAGTTTTAGCGGAGTCGAAGCTTATCTGCTCTTTTTATTAGGAAATTTCTCCACTTTCCAATTACAGATCATTTGTGATTCCAACCATATTAAAAGATTATATAACCGAAGATCCATAAGTAATATATTGGACATTCCGGTAGCGGCGCTTGATCACTTTCGCTCTCTGAACCCCTCTCATATTTTACATGGTTTTGTAGTATAGAATCACATTACACCTGCGCACCTGGGTATATGTCACAGTACGGTATTATAAATCACGCGATGTCTTTACAAAACAAGCGAAGATAAGTAAGAAAACTTAATGTCATTTTTATCAACTAAAAACTAGGTATATTTACTCATCTTCGATGCTCCACGGGTTTCGATTACTTTCGCTCTCTGCATCCCTACAACATGTCATGGCAAAACTGAAGGCACTAACGAAGTGCTTTGACTGGTTCCAGGAGAGAAAAAAATAATCGAAGATTACAAAATAGCGATACCCAACTTCAAAGCCATTGCAATATACCGTTAAGCGACCCGATTTCCTACAGAGAGCGAAAGTGATAGTAACCCCTGAATGATATGTATTATACAAGTCACATAATTGACAACATTTATTACATTTATGATTAAATGCATATTCTATCTGTGCTACGTGTAAACAACATTACTTACTATGATAAACACAAATTTGACTTGTTAGTCTACAGAGAATCTGAGTCAACGTTAACCCTCTGAAGGTCATTCTTTTTAATCATGGTCCCGCCTCTGTGTAGGGAAAGCATTCACATAAGAAATCAAGATAGATGTCAAAATGATAATAAATTTTCGCTCTGTTTATATTTCCTATATATATAGCTACTAAGCTACGATGTTGGTGATATTATGACATAATAACATCTTAGAATAATCTTTAGCATGCATTGAAAATAAATCTTACTGAGGTCAGACCTTAATTGTCCCTTAGTAAACATTATTGCTACCCTAATATCGTGTCAAATTATTCAACTTTATAATATGATAATTTCTGTTCTATTTTATTTCAGATTCAAAAAAGAACTTAAAGTCGCCCAAACTGACGTGTCTACGTGGCTCTTCTGACAAAGATGTTAACCCACTGGGCAGTGTACCTCAGTCCTACAAGCTCAACGGACACATGTCTGATTTCCTGTACCGAGTATTCGTCCGACAGAACCTTGCCTCTCAATCAGGAAGTGCGGGCAAGAAACCAACTCAGTCGCCATTACCGGAAGTGCCTTCGACTTATAAGCCTTTCCGTTCGTTAACATTTGTTCAGAGTAACCCGTCTGTGCGGCTGTATAGACAGCCAAACTGGTCCCCGGATAAAGCGTCTTTCAGTGCTGAAAACAGTGTTAAACTTGGGATTGTCAACAATCCGTCATTTGTTGTTCTTTAACGATATTATTTAGCACATTCTTAATCTTTAAATAATTGATATTCGTTTTGTTTAAAACGAATGTAACCTGGAAACAAAATATGATGTAAATATATCACTTTCATTTTGGGATTATTTAACGAGACCCCAAATAAATAATGTACATTGTCTTGGTTCATGTATTCTTACAAATATGTACAGGTGTGTCAGAATCAACCATCAGATAGCGTGTTTATATCTACTCTATATATCGAGACCTGCTCTCTACTGGATTCTTTAATCCTACTCAAAATCTGCCTGGACAGCGGTAACCAAATTTGTGGTGGATATTATGTAAAAATCGCGAGCATTGTTTTTAGTTGAATCGAAATCCAGAAAGGTGCATGTTCTTTATTTATTCAATAAGTTTAGTAGAGAACTTCCAATACCACTCGCTCTCAAAATATATATCTCACTGTCCAGTACACTTTATGTAGCGTATATTGTTATTCTGCGAGTTCATTTACACTACCAGTCGATATATAAGGTCAGCGCATGTATCATTTGATCCTGTCACAAGAAAGTATATAAGATGAAAGATAAGTATTAGGTCATGTGTCATATGGACCTAAGCGCTCCAAAAACACAAAAAGAAAATACCAACATGTCAACATAACCATAATTCAAACTCAAATTTAACTCAATAAAACAATGTCAAAACATGGACAAAAGAAAGATTTTCATGGAGATTCATGAAAAAGTACAAGGAGAATAAGACCAAGTGTTTCTGTAGTGTTAGCGTCTTCGGCTTCTTCGACGACACCTGCCATGCAGACCTTTATCGTTACGAGTAAGTAATGCCATGTCCTCAAAGGAGAACAAGGTGTACAACAACTAACCAACAGGCAAGCACGTCTAGCTTCATACCGCATAAAGAAACAGAACATTTCTCAATGAGATCATTAATGACGACCGTAAAATCTACCCATAGTTTTCATCAACCTGTATCTTTTGAAACTATGTGTTACGAGTTCGTCCGTCAATGTCCAGTTAACACCAGAGTATCGGATGATTTCGTAATTGGATTTGCTTGAAATTTTGACAAATCTTCTACATCATTATATACATGTAATATCACAATATTCCCCTCCTTATTAAATAATCTCAACACAGTATCGTATTTCGGCTATACAGATATCAGTAAATTACTCCATGGTTAAAATTCTACCTAGACACAATATCTTTAACATTCTTATTCAAAAGCACCGTTAGGGTATGCGTCATGACACCAAAATATTCCTTTACGGAGTCTTAAATATTTTGCTTGGTTTGGCATTGATGTTGATTACATAACAATGTAACTTTTTTTCATTGATAATCAAGTTATTGGCAATATGCAACGTGTCCTGATTATTACGAAAGATATACAATTGAGCCACCCTTCACAACTACCTGACTCGTAAGACATACAGATTGAAATCGGTGCACATTGTTCGGCATGTCTGTTTTGGAACAGCACTGAACCATAGGACATTTTTCTCGCCTGCCAACATGTTTCATGGGAGTAATGTCTTTCCAATACATGACAAAATTATAAGAGATATACGGTTTATCACGTGACATCGTCAAGGACATGTTCATATTTGATTCTGGAATAAGAGGCTACTGCGAGGGACCACCAGTCCCAGAGGTTAGCCGAAAACTGCATGCCGCGTTTTAATACATTCGAATAACGACATTGTTCAGAACATGCACAAGTACTAAACTCATCAGATATATAAAAATTACGAAAGTTACTGAACTATGGGGCAAATGCACTTCCCTTTCTAGATTTTGACTTTTCTTTCGATCACTTAGGATTTTCCTAAATCACCTCCTAGGTTTAAAATGTAGGCCCTAAGCATCACTAATGAGTCTTAGAAGGACGATACAGCTGTATGATGTAGCATCACTGACGAGCCCTAGAATGACAAAACAGCTGTATGATGTAGCATCATTGACGAGCCCTCGAATGATAGAACAGCTGCATGATGTAGCATCACTGACGAGCCCTAGAATGACAAAACAGCTTTATGATGTAGAATCAGTGACGAGGTCCTAGAATGACAAAACAGCTGTATGATGTAGCATCACTGACGAGTCCTAGAATGACAAAACAGCTTTATGATGTAGAATCACTGACGAGCCCTAGAATGACAAAACAGCTGTATGATGTAGAATCCCTGACGAGTCCTAGAATGACAAACAGCTGTATGATGTAGCATCACTGACGAGTCCTGGAAGGACGAAACAGCTGTATGATGTAGAATCACTGACGAGCCCTAGAATGACAAACAGCTGTATGATGTAGAATCACTGACGAGCCCTAGAATGACAAAACAGCTGTATGATGTAGAATCCCTGACGAGTCCTAGAATGACAAACAGCTGTATGATGTAGCATCACTGACGAGTCCTGGAAGGACGAAACAGCTGTATGATGTAGAATCACTGACGAGCCCTAGAATGACAAACAGCTGTATGATGTAGAATCACTGACGAGGTCCTAGAATGACAAATAGCTGTATGATGTAGCATCACTGACGAGTCCTTGAAGGACGAAACAGCTTTATGATGTAGCATCATTGACGAGCCCTCGAATGATAGAACAGCTGCATGATGTAGCATCACTGACGAGCCCTAGAATGACAAAACAGCTTTATGATGTAGAATCAGTGACGAGGTCCTAGAATGACAAAACAGCTGTATGATGTAGCATCACTGACGAGTCCTAGAATGACAAAACAGCTTTATGATGTAGAATCACTGACGAGCCCTAGAATGACAAAACAGCTGTATGATGTAGAATCCCTGACGAGTCCTAGAATGACAAACAGCTGTATGATGTAGCATCACTGACGAGTCCTAGATGGACGAAACAGCTTTATGATGTAGAATCACTGACGAGGTCCTAGAATGACAAACAGCTGCATGATGTAGCATCACTGACGAGTCCTTGAAGGACGAAACAGCTTTATGATGTAGAATCACTGACGAGTCCTAGATGGACGAAACAGCTGTATGATGTAGCATCACTGACGAGTCCTAGATGGACGAAACAGCTGTATGATGTAGAATCACTGACGAGCCCTAGAATGACAAACAGCTGTATGATGTAGAATCAATGACGAGGTCCTAGAATGACAAACAGCTGCATGATGTAGCATCACTGACGAGTCCTTGAAGGACGAAACAGCTTTATGATGTAGAATCACTGACGAGCCCTAGAATGACAAAACAGCTGTATGATGTAGAATCACTGACGAGACCTAGAAGGACAAAACAGCTGTATGATGTAGCATCACTGGCGAGTCCCAGGACAAAACAGCTGTATGATGTAGCATCACTGACGAGACCTAGAATGACAAAACAGCTGTATGATGTAGCATCACTGACGAGCCCTAGAATGACAAAACAGCCGTATGATGTAGCATCACTGACGAGTCCTGGAATGACAAAACAGCTGTATGATGTAGAATCACTGACGAGACCTAGAATGACAAAACAGCTGTATGATGTAGCATCACTGACGAGACCTAGAAGGACAAAACAGCTGTATGATGTAGCATCACTGACGAGCCCTAGAATGACAAAACAGCTGTATGATGTAGCATCACTGACGAGTCCTGGAAGGACGAAACAGCTGTATGATGTAGCATCACTGACGAGACCTAGAATGACAAAACAGCTGTATGATGTAGCATCACTGACGAGCCCTAGAATGACAAAACAGCCGTATGATGTAGCATCACTGACGAGTCCTGGAATGACAAAACAGCTGTATGATGTAGCATCACTGACGAGACCTAGAATGACAAAACAGCTGTATGATGTAGCATCACTGACGAGACCTAGAATGACAAAACAGCTGTATGATGTAGCATCACTGACGAGACCTAGAATGACAAAACAGCTGTATGATGTAGCATCACTGACGAGACCTAGAATGACAAAACAGCTGTATGATGTAGCATCACTGACGAGACCTAGAATGACAAAACAGCTGTATGATGTAGCATCACTGACGAGTCCTGGAATGACAAAACAGCTGTATGATGTAGCATCACTGACGAGACCTAGAATGACAAAACAGCTGTATGATGTAGCATCACTGACGACAAAAGACCTAGAATGACAAAACAGCTGTATGATGTAGCATCACTGACGAGACCTAGAATGACAAAACAGCTGTATGATGTAGCATCACTGACGAGACCTAGAATGACAAAACAGCTGTATGATGTAGCATCACTGACGAGACCTAGAATGACAAAACAGCTGTATGATGTAGCATCACTGACGAGACCTAGAATGACAAAACAGCTGTATGATGTAGCATCACTGACGAGACCTAGAATGACAAAACAGCTGTATGATGTAGCATCACTGACGAGACCTAGAATGACAAAACAGCTGTATGATGTAGCATCACTGACGAGACCTAGAATGACAAAACAGCTGTATGATGTAGCATCACTGACGAGACCTAGAATGACAAAACAGCTGTATGATGTAGCATCACTGACGAGACCTAGAATGACAAAACAGCTGTATGATGCAGAATCACTGACGAGACCTAGAATGACAAAACAGCTGTATGATGTAGCATCACTGACGAGACCTAGAATGACAAAACAGCTGTATGATGTAGCATCACTGACGAGACCTAGAATGACAAAACAGCTGTATGATGTAGCATCACTGACGAGACCTAGAATGACAAAACAGCTGTATGATGTAGCATCACTGACGAGTCCTGGAATGACAAAACAGCTGTATGATGTAGCATCACTGACGAGTCCTGGAATGACAAAACAGCTGTATGATGTAGCATCACTGACGAGCCCTAGAATGACAAAACAGCTGTATGATGTAGCATCACTGACGAGACCTAGAATGACAAAACAGCTGTATGATGTAGCATCACTGACGAGACCTAGAATGACAAAACAGCTGTATGATGTAGCATCACTGACGAGACCTAGAATGACAAAACAGCTGTAT